CGTGCTGCTCGCCCCGCTGCAGGTAAGAGGGCGGCCGCGCCCCGCGTCGTTCCCTGGGGACCGGGAGCCCTCGCCGCGCACGCTCTCCCGGTGCCCCCTTCCCGGGCGCTGGTGGCTGAGAGCTCTGGCCCCTCTGCCTCCCAAGAGGTTCAGGCTGGGGACTCGGGGAGTGAACCCTGGGGCGGCCTGTGGCCGCAGGAGCTGGACCGTGGAAAGAGGGGTCCGGCTTATGGAGGGAGTGGGGCGCAGGAGCCCCCGTCCTTGGGCACGGACTCATGCCAGAGCCCCGTCGCTCTCTGGCTTTGGCGATACCCCTTACTCTCCAGACACGTGAGCGCTGGGCTCTGCAGAGAGGAATGGAGGCGGCAGGGGGGCCACGCTGGCCGCGCGTCCTGGTGCGGGCTCCGACCCACCGACCCGAAGGGACGCAGGTAGTGCCCCTAACTCGGCCAACACACCCTCTCTGGTCTCAGTTTCCCTCTCATAGGACTAATTATCTCGTCACTGAGGGGTTTTGAGCTGCAGGGAAACCAAAGTTGAAAGTTGATTCTGAAAAGTTGACAATTTTCAATTAAGTCTCCTCGTTTATCGTCGCTTCTCCCACAATTTGAGGTCCAACCTAGAATAATAGTCCCCTCTCTGAGATCCCTGGACGCTGTCAGGACGAAGTAGGCTTTTCTTTGCAGTGGGAGAAGCAGAGGTGGGTTATGTGGCTTCATGCTCAGTGCCCAGGCAGGGACGGAGGCCAGCGCGCGGCCACCGAGCGCCCGTTTCATCAAGCTGCACCCAGTGCCTAGTGGGAACATCGTGCGCCTGGGCGCGGGTGGGGCCGGCTGCAGCCCCCAGCCCCTGATCCCCACCCGAGAGCGCCCTGCCTCGTCTGCCCGCCAACCGGGTGCACTTGGCCCAGAACCCCACCTGGCGCGCCACCAAGAAATTAAGCCCCCTGCGCTCCAGTGGTAATGCGCGCGCGTGGTGACCCTCCAGGTATCCGAGGCTGGCGATCTGTAGGGGAGGAGACTGCCTGGTCTTCTGAGCTGAGTAGCTGGTGGATTCAGATCACCTGCCTTTTCTATAAAGCTCCTTCGCAGCTTGCGAAGGCTGATAAAACCCCAGCGAGTCTAGAGGCTGGAGGGTGCGGATGCCAGTGTCTTTTCACAGATTTGTTGTCATCCAGCTCTTGAAGAGATTTCCTTAGCAGCCCACTCGGTGCAGTTGCAAAGATAATAATGGCCTCGCAGGACAGAGCCCTGAGGCCCTGCTTGCGCAGTGGTTAAAGCATTTGAACGCTATGCTAAGGGAAAGGTCAGTGGACTGGCCAGCCACTCCATAATGAGGCAGTCTGGTTCAGTAAAGATTATAGCCGGAATGCCCTCTGGGACCACTCAACTCTGACCCCTCTCACCCCCAGACGCCTCCGGCTACTGTGTGGTTTGAGGCCAAGCAGCGGTGTTGGGAACTCAGCGCAACAACCACCACAAAAACCTTTTACATTGGATAGTTCCTCAGGAAAAGTGTGAATGCTTGGTTTCAGATTGACCCTTGGGGAAATTTCGCTCAGCCTCTCTCCAACACTTGGGGAGGAGTTGTGTCGAGGGTGGAAAGGCCAGGGAAGCCGCCCTAGGATTAAAGTCTGGACAGACGTGATAGAATATTGCAGAGGGGAAATGAAGACTTAATCTGTGCTGTTCCCCCCTTCCCCCTAATTTTGTCTCTTAGAATGCCAGGGGAAACATAAAAGTGGGGAAATGAATGGAATTTTTTGCCTTAGACACTTGAGATGCTTAATAAGTACAGCAGGTTGGACAAGGCACTGCCTTGCTTGAACTGAAGGACCAGGCTGTGGAGAAAAGCCAGCCACCTGGGAAGAGCCTGCCTGGCTGTGTGGAATGGGCCTGCATTTCCCACTGGGTTGCTGTGACTCATAGTGGACTTGACGGCGATAAATTACGGTCATTGCAAAAAACTACACTACAGGAGACCCTCCACTGGGTTTCCGAAGCTATAAATCTTTAAGGGAGGGGACTGCCCCCCTTTCTCCCTCATAGTGACTAGTGTATTTGAACTTTCAACTTTTTAGTCAGCAGCCTGACACATTACATACTATGCTACCAGGGTGTACACTGTATGTTGTTGTTGTTGTTGTTATGTGCTGTTGAGTCAAAAGTGATTCATAGCTGGCCCTCCAGTGGGTTTTCAGAGGTGGTAGATCACGTGGGAGGAGATCGTCCATCTTTCCCCGAAGGAGCAACTGGTGGATTCGAAACACATGCTTTTGGGTCGGCAGTGCAGCTACAATAAACTCCCTTATACTATACGTTTGCTGGGAGGGAAAAAAGGCATTCTGCTCTGATATTAACAGCAAAAATATCAGAGCAGGTTTCTTTTTCAGAGAGCTTTCAACAAGTGCTATTTGTTCCTGTTTTGCCACAATGCCTTTTACTGATGTCCACTTTTAATAGCACCTAGACGGGAAACCTCTCCACTGGTCAGCTCCCCCTGGGTGGCACTTAGGTGCTCCTCTGCAGGTGTGAGTTTGCACCTCGCTGCCTAAGTGGGAACCCAGGAATCCTGAAAGGTGGCCCCACCTGCAGTGTTGCTTCAGCTGAGACAGGAGTAAGCATTCTGGGTGCTTAATTCCTGCACATTTGCGAGCCTACTTAATCTCGTGGTTCAAAAATTAGAAACTGCATTGGTGACTGTTTGATTCTCTTAGTGAGCACACACTGGGCATGGCCCGATGACCTTCTTGGAGAGGCTAGTGATTGTGCAAATTGGTGGCAAAAAAGCTTCTAGAAAGTGCTATTGTTGTGAACTGTTGAGTCAGAAGCAACCCATAGCTGACCCTCTGGGGAGTTTTCAGAGGCAGTTAATTGCACAGGAGGAGATGGCCCATCCCTCTTCCACGGAGCAGCTGGTGGATTCGAACTGCCTGCCTTCGGGATGGCAGCACAACTTCTTACCAGCAGGCCACCAGAGCTACCTAGAGAGCACAGTAAAATCTGTGAAAACAGGAAAACTGTGTAAGGCAGAAATCTGTCAGAGAAGGAAAAAGCAAATAATTCCCGTTCAAGAAATACAGCTGGATTTAGTGACTTCTGTATGGTATGAGATAGCTTCAAATGCTACTTTGGAAACATCTCTGCTCCTATCGGTGCACGCCTGGCTTTGTGAGGAAATTCCTTTTCAGACATAGTAAGAGCATTTGCAGGCAGAGGGCTACGTCTTGAGCTTAGAAAGGAAACTTAGAAGCATCCTGCTTCCATCCGGGGAACTGGTTTTGGACAGTCACTTGGATCTGGGTAATCTGAGCCTCGGGGACACTGCTGGTCATCAGGTGGTGCCTGAGTCACAGCAGCCGTCTGACAGAGTGGAGCTCGCTGGCCCAGGGCGTTCCCTCGCCTGTGATCTTAAGCGGTTCATGGTCGGGTCTCACTCCTGCAGGGCTGCTGGCTGCTGAGTGCTTATCTGTTGAGCCACCAGGGCTCCATTGTAAGCTGGTGCTGGTGGAGGAAACTGATGACGATGAAGGCACTGTGTCTCCAGGAGGCCGGGGTCTGGAGGGGAGCAGCCTTAACAATACACAGAGACCATAAGGGACGTACTGGGGCTGGGGGGTCGCACCAGAGTCTAGAGTTGAACAAACAGGAACTTTTGCAGGCAAGGCCTTTGAAAGTGGTCTTTGAAGGGTGGGGAAAAATGAAACTGAGATCCCGTAGGTGAAGCAAGGGAGCTTCCTAGAGAGAGAGAAGCCGGAGCTCTGGTGGTTTAGGGATAAGGAGCTGTGCTGCGAACCCAAAGGTTGAATGGTTTGAATCCACCAGCTGCTCCATAGGAGAAAGATGGGCAGTCCCCCCGAGTGTGATTTACAGACTCTGAAAACCTGCTTGCGGGTCAGCTCCAACTTGATGGCATGTGATACAGCAACAGGGAGGGAGAGGGATGGGTAGACGCTAGTGGTTTGGCCTTAACCTCCCCACCCACGGCTGTCTAGTCTTAACCACCTCACAGTGACAGGACGGGACAGCGCGGAATGGCCCGAGAGGTTCCAAGACGGTCCACCTTTCACCTGGAGCCTGCTTCCAACTGCTGACCCTTTGGTTAACAGCCCAATGCTTAATCCACTACACCACCTGGACCCCACAGCCTGGAGGAATCTTGCTTATAAAAAAAAAAGAAGAAGAAAAGAAAAGCAGCATGGTTTTATGGACTGAATTCAGGAAACACCACTGAAAGGAGCAATAAACATTTACAGTTTAAAGATTACCCTGCTCAGGTCTTTCTGAGGCGGTGAGGCAGGCTGATCTCTGGGACGGCCTGGGGGGCACCGCTGCAAGGAAATCCCCAAAGGTGGTGGGGCGCCCTTGCCCTCCTGCCCCCCCATCCTGGAGGTGAAGCATGGCTGTGGGGGGAGGACCAGGCACTAAGGCATTTCGTGGGCAGCAAATGCTGTGCATGCGCCCCTGTGACTTCCTCCCCCTCCTCCCACAGCAGGGCTGTGCACCAACACCTTCTGTGAGCTGATAAGGAAGCCTTTTGGGTTATCTACAGAAACCCTTACCCTGGGAAGGCTGAAACAATGAAGAGGTATCTGCAAAGGTCATAAATCAGGGTTTTATGAGGCCTTGGAAAGGGGACTTTCCATCCAGGCCCCCTGCCGAGTGTTGTCCCAGAGCCCCAGGCGGCCTGTGATCCATCCTGCGTGTTAGTGGCCCGTGGGAAAGGTGTCCTGGTCACCCTGGGTGATGGAGGCGCAAGGATGACCCCTGACCCCGAGGAGGGACGCACAGGAGGGTGGGGGGCCCGACACTCCCGCCTGCCCCCTCTGCCCTTCCGGCTGGGACCCTGTCTGCCAGTGGCTTCCCCTCCAGGCACCTGCGCTTTCTCTCCTTAAGCTTCTCCTGCATCACACCAGGGCCTTTGCAGAGTCTGCACTTGGAGAAGCACAGCTTAGAGCCGCAGCCTCCTTCGAGGCGGAGGAGGAGGATGAGCCGGGTCAGCCCGCGAGCCTCTGCCTCTGCGGTGGTGCCAGCGCACTGGGTTTGCGCCGAGTGGGTGGCGGAGCGCGTCTGCCCTGATTCAGGGCGCCCTGCGCTCTTCCTGCCGTGCACCTCCCCACCACCGCTGACTTCCCCTCTCTGCAGCGCCCATCACAGGCTGGGAGTGCTGTTCTCACGGCAGCAGCTTCCAACTACAAGGTGCTCCCCAGAAACAGCCCGAAAAAATGAGTCAGCAGTTTGCAGCTGGCTTTTCCGGCCAGTGGTGGTAGTGGCCCTCCATCAGCTCTGCCTGGTCCAGGCCAGGGCGCAGCACTAGCTACCGAGAATGGTAACGGAATGTGAATTAAAGGTGAGCATTTACATGTTCAGCACCTGTGTGCCCGGCTGAGGAGGGTGACAGGGCCCACCGCCTAGACTCGCATGGACAGGTCAGCCTAGGCAGGATCACTGCGCTTCCAATGGTGTTCTCACAGCGTGCTGGGCATGCAGGACGAAGAGGGCTGTCTCCCAGGAAGCGTCAGGAAGCCGGTTCGTCTTTTCTTTGCCCGCGTATCTGAATGAGCAACAAGGAGCGCCTGGAGAGGCAGGTGGCTGTGCTGTGTGGCCGGGGCAGCAGAAGGCGTTGCCTTTTCCAGGGAACTCTAAAAAGGATGGACACTGGTGGCCTAGTGGTAAGGAACTGTGCTGCCGACCCAAAGGCAGGTGGTTCAAATAAATCCACCAGGAGGAAAATGCGCAGTCTCTTCCTGTGCCATTTACTGCCTCTGAAAACATGCTGGAGGGTCAGCTATGAGTGGATTCTGACTCGACAGAACACAACAACAATAAGAGTATAGGAAAGAAGGAGCTTAGTAACACTAAGGTAGGTGCTCATCCCTAACTGAAAGGTTGATGGTTCTAATCCATCCGCAGCTGGTACACTCCTCTCATGAAGTTTCCCACATAGGAAACCTCTTCACGTGGGGTTCCTGTGAGTCAGAAGGGCTAGACTTAAACCGAGTAAGAACCCCAGACATGTTGGTGACAGGAAGGGGGAGACCAGCACCCAACACAAGCACAGCTGAGTTTTCTGTTGCTGCGTTGTGAGTGAGCTGAGGGAACATGGTCAGAGTTAACGGGTCTGGGGAAGGACATCAGGGTGGGGACAAGGGGCTGTCCAGGAGGCCATGCATGACCTTGGTTCAAAGAAGAGGTCATGAAGGCTGGAGTCAGATCTGCACAGCAGGGCTGTACCAGGTGTTGAAGACAAAGGATGTGGCTGGTGACCAAAAAAAAAAAAAAGGATGTGGTACATGTCAGGAGAAATTAGCTGACCATCGGGTTACATTTGTCACAGTTGACTAAGAGATTTCTGCTGAGGTCTAACTCCGAATGCTGGTCAGGTTCAAGTGCACAAGGACTTTTCTCCAAGCAGAGAAGAAGGAAGGAGGAAGCTTAGCTGTTGAATGGCAGCTTCTCTGTGCTCTTTCATGGGGAGAAGCCAGTGTCCCTCCAGCCACTGGGCACTGGGATGAGCAGGAAATGTGTGTGCTCTGGAATCTCGTGTTATTTCCTGGGGCAGAGGCAGCTGGGAACCGGAAGTGGAGGAGAGCAGTGGACTTCTAGCACTCATCCCTCCGGAGAAGCTGCCAGTGACCCGCAGGTGGTACCTGACCTGGGCCTGGAAGAGCCATTACACTGGAATCTACTCCCAGCCTGGAGGAGGGAGGGAGGGAGAGAGAGAGAGAGAAAGATGTCTTAGCGTTCAGTGACGGTCTATTCCTTACCCTCTGCTGAAAGGGCCACAAATGGGCGCCTTTCCCAGACAGATTGGTTTCTCATAGGTATTGTCTTGTCCTGTTGAGTCAGCTCGAACCCAGACTCTGTGTATAACAGACTGAAGCAGTGCTTTCCTCCGAGTCTGTTGTGCTGACGCCCATTGTTGCAGCCGTTGTCAGTCCATCTTGTTGAATGTCTTCCTTTTTTTCATTGACACTTTGCTAAGCGCAAACTGGTCCCTCTTGAAAACATGCCCAAGTACGTGAGCCAAAGTCTCATGATTCTCACTTCTTAGGAACATCTGGCTATACTCCTTCCAAGACTGAACGGTCTTCAGTATTTGTGTATTCAGTATTTGTTGCCAACACCACAGTTCAAAGACATCAGTTCCTTTTTGGTCTTTCATATCCACTCTCCAACTTTCTTGTGCATATGCAGGAATTAGGAATACTGTAGCATGGGTCAGGCAAACCTTAGTCTTTAAACTGGCATCATTGCTCTTTGCATTTTAAAGATGTCCTTGGCAGCAAATTTGCCCAATGCAAATTTGATATCTTTACTGCTGCTTCCATGGATATTAATTGTGGGCCCCAGGAAAAGGAAATCCTTGACAGCTTCAATCTTTTATCCATTTATCATGATGTTGTTTCTTGGTCCAGGTGTGAAAATTTTTATTTTCTTGATGTGATGGAGTGTAATAATCCATTCCAAAAACTATAGTTTCTAAGATTCATCAGTAAATGCTCCAAGTGGTCTTCATTTTTTGCATGCACTGTTGGTCATCTGCATGTCACAGGTTGTACATAGATCAAAAGTCAGATATTTCAAAGGAACAAGAGATACCGTATGGTTTAAAATCAGGAAAATTATGCAACAAGGTTGTGTCCTTTTGTGATACTTAGTACACTGAGAAGATAAGAAACTAGACTACGTAAAGATAAGAGAGACGTCAGAATTGGAGGAAGACTCATTTACAGCCTGTGGTATACAGATGACACAGCCTTGTTTGCTAGAAGTGGGAAGGATTTGAAACAGACTGATGAAATTGAGAACGACTACAGCCTTCAGTGTGGGTTGCATATCTCATAAAACAAAAACCCTTACAATTGGGTCAGTAAGCAAAATACTGATAAGTCGAACCAGTAAATTAAGCAACATATTGCATTGTGCAAAGCAAATGAGAAAGATCCCTTTAAAGTGTTCCAAAGCAAAGATGTCACTTTGAGGACAAATGTTTGTGCCTAACCCAAATCAAACCCAAACCATGGAGTTTTTAATCACCTCGTGTGCATGTGAAAGCTGGCCAGTGAATAAGGAAAAACAAGGAGTAACTGATGCCCTTTAACTGTGATATTGACAGAGACTATGGAGTGTACCGTGGACTAGCAGAACAGGGAGCTCTGGTGAGGAGTTGTGCTGCCACCCTAAAGGCTCGCAGTTCGAATCCACCAGCTGCCCTGTGGCAATCTCTTGGGCAATTTCCTTCCCCTGAAAAGCTGCCAGAGGTTCAGCTATGAGTCGTTTCTGACTGGATGGTACACAACAGCAATAACAGCAGCAGCAGAACAAATAAATCTGTCTTGAAGAAGGACAGCCTGGATGCTCCTTGGGGGTGAAGGTGGCATGAATCGGCTTCATGTCCTAGACGCAGGTTGCCCAGAGGGACCAGACAATCCTCAAAGAAATAGATCCATGCGGTGCTCACTGCAGTGCGCTCAAAGGGTTGTGAAGTCAGCACACGGCAAACCAGGGTTTTGTTCTGTTGTGCATAGATCTCGGTGAAACAGAACTGACTCGTTGTACCTAATCGCGACAATCACAGAGACTTTCTGTCAATCCTGCCATGTTCACATGGCAGAGATAATCCATTCCCAAGTGAGATTATGAGCACAGGCCCAGAGTTTAGGATTCACAGCACATTTTTTTTAAACAATTTGAGTTAATACTAAACTATAAACCAGAAATTGATGCACGCCAGGTAATCTGCTTGAGCGACTGTGAAGATGGAACAGGAATCTTAACCTCTGGGTGTGGTTGCTCGGACTGTGGGGTCCATTCTGACCCCTGGGGACCTTCTGTCAGGTTCATGAGCCTGTAAGTCTTGTTGGGAGGAGACTTGTTTGCGGGGAGCAGAGGTCGGATTCAATCCACTAGCCTTCTGCTTAGCGGTGCAACACATAACGCATGAAACCACCAGAGCTCCTTGTTTGTTAAAGGGATACAGCCCATTGCTTGCCTGTTTCCAAGATCATAGTTCATTTTATTATCTTTCTGGTCGAGGGGAGGGCTGGGTTACCTGTGTTTCTGGTAATCTCCTTCCAGAAAAACAAAACAAAACAAAACAAAACAAAACCAGAAAGGGAGAGGAGGCTCACCTAAAATTTTTGTTTCAGGTACAGCAGTCAGATTCAGACTTAGAGACTTTTAGAGACCACTCGCCACCACATGTAACCCACAGGGCATCTAGAGAACATAGTGGAGGGGCAGGCACACCTTCCTGTTTCTGTCAGGGAGGATTAAACCTTTTTATTACAAAGACACGCAGCTTTGGAAACCCATTGGGGGGTTGCTGTTGTTGTTAGGGGCTGTTGAGTCGAGTACGACTCATAGCAACCTGAAGAACAACAGATCTGAACCCTGTCCTCTCCTGTGCCATCCTCAACCATCTCTGACACACTCATTCCCATTGCTGCAATCACTGTGTCAATCCATCTTATTGAAGGTCTTCCTCTGTTTCACAGTCCCTCAATGTTCCCAAGTTTGATGTCCTTCTCCAATGAATAGCCTCTCCTAGCAGCAGGCCTGAAGTATGTGAGAAGAAGCTTTATCATCTTTGCCTCCAAAGAACACTCTGGCTTCACCTTGTCCAATATGTGTGTATTCTTTGGGTAGCCCATTGGATAGTCAGTACTTTTTCTCTAACAGCACAGTTCAAAGGCATCAATTCTTCTTCTATCATCCTTATTAATTGTCCAGCTCTCAGCAGCATAGAAAGTGATAGAAAAGATCCTGCAGAAAAGATGTGAATCAGGTGCACATTAGTCCCCAAACTGACATCATTGGAGGATTGAGTCAAACCCACTTGACAGCTGTGAGTTTGATTTTTGTTCCTGTTGTCATTTCAGTGTGTAAGGAGCTGGTTTAACCAGAAGGCTGGCTGTTCAAATCCACTATGAGCCCCTCAAGTAAAAAGAGTGACAGTCTGTCCTCATTGGCCATCCATTGCTTTTGAACCGATTCCAACTCACAGGGACCCTACAGGACAGTGTTGCTCAATCATTACTGCTGAACCC